CTTGCGGAATCCGTGCTGGACATGCTCCCCAAGCGCCGGGCCTAGCCCCAGCGCTCCTGCGTGTGCCCTCCTGCCCTCTGCAGCACTGAATTCATCCCTGTATTCGTCATCCATGTCGATTGATGTCAGAGCAACAGCACAAAAGGGTTCGCGCAGGGACTCCGAGGGGACATGGTCTGCAAACGAGCAAACGCGGGGAGGGAGAGTGTCCCTTTTCTGTCGCGGTCTGGAACCTGCCCCCTCTCCCTCCTTCCACAGACAATACCTGATTATGCAGATCTTTTTTTTCTTCCCTTTCCTTCCCTTTCCTTTTTTTTTTTTTTTGTTTTTAAATTGTCGTTCTTAAGGACACTGGTAAGCACAGACTGGGCTTGCAGACCCAGAAGTCTCCTCCCAGCCTTGGGGAGGAAGAGGGATGGGAGAGAAAGAACCTGAACCCTCATCCACCCCAGTCCCCGTCTCTCATCCTGGAGTTGCCAGCTATCTGAGGAGGAGCTGGAGGGGCAAATGTGTCCCCTCAGCCCCTCCTTGGCTCTGCTGGCCCCGGATCGAGAGCGGGCGCTGCGCAAAGAGGGCTCCTCACGTTGCTGCTGGAGGCACGGCGGTGGGCATGCTGGATCTGGGAAGTTCCTTGGCCTGGAAACCTTCACCCTCCCTTCTCCCTTTCTTGAAAATGAGTTGGACTTAGAGGAACTTGTTGGAGATCAGAGGAAGGGAAAGGATATCGTTACTATTGATTTTCTAATTATTTTTGTTTTAAAGCAAAGGGATGTCCCTCCTAACTAGGTGTCACAGGCACATCCAGGTGAGGTGCAGAGATGAGATGTCTGCTCTGTAGGGAACATGTCTGTGAGATCACACGAATGTCCGAAGGTGCTTCACTGTTTGGCTACAGGCAGGGGAGGGAGAGGAACTTGGGATCAAGTTATTTTTGGTTGTTTGTTTTTTTTTTTTCTTTTTTTTTTAACGGGTGTTTTTGGTTTTGTGGTGTTTTTTTGGTTTTGTTTGTTTTTTTTTTTAAATGCAGGGGTTGTGGGGAGGGAAAACAAAACAACAAGAAACCACTTGCATTCCTTCAGCCTGCCTGCCCCTGAGGTGATAAAGTGGTGGCTGCAGGGGGAGGATTAGCGAATTTTTTTTTTTTCACACCAGCCTGGTCCAAGGTGCGTGAAAAGAGGCACCTGCTCCGCTTCCGTGGTGCCCAACCACGGTGCTAGAAATGCTGCGCCTGTGTGCTCACCTTGCAAGGTGATAACACAAAGTCTAGTCCTGCTTTGGTGTTTGACTTGGGCATGGTTGGAGCCAGCTGGTGTCAGAGAGGTGGGGTGTTCCCGCACCCCAAGCGAGGAGCTGTTTGTGTGTGCCCGATCATAGGTTCGAGTCCTCTGGATCACAAAAACTCGTCATCCCACTCACTTCTGGGGTGGTGATCGTTGTTGGGTGGCAGGGGGCAAATCCATCCCTACAGCCCACTCCGTCAAAGGGATGCTGCCCCAGGTAACATCGCTTGTCAGAGGACTTCCTTGGTCAGTACTCTCTTGGGCTGTGTAATTAATTCTAGTTTAAATGATCTTAAGTGTGCAAGCTACCAACCCAGTGTGATCTTCTCCATTATTTATTCCATTTGGTGCAATCCGCCCGACTTTGGTGTTTAAATTAAACTGGTTGATTTCACTTTTCATTCCTTCATTTTGCTTTGTTCTCCAGGTGCTTGCTTGGTATTTGTGTTTCAAATGTATATTTAAATTACTTTAAAAAAAATCTGTTTTTAATGTTTAAAAGAAAACATCTCTTTCAACAGTCTTGGGTTAGGATTTTGCAAAGCCTTTGTGTTGAGGGCCGCCTTCCTTGATGCGTCCTTTTTCTCTTCGAAAAAGTTCTGTGGCTGCTTTGTTACTTGTTGCTTTGCCTATGTGAGTAATTTTCTTTATTTTTCTTTTTTTCTTAATGACTTTTCTGTGTATTTGGGAAGGAATCTGTGCAAAGACAATGATAGATGTCTGTGCTGTGTGTAGTGCTGTGATGCTGCTCTTGCTCTGGATTTCCCGTGGGTGGATTAAAAGAGAAAGTGTGTGTTCGTTTTTTTTTAAGCTGCCCTGTTCCTTGCTGCTTTGTGATTTACAAGGAGGGGTCCCCCTTGGTGACAAAAGTAGTGGGGTTTCCACTCACCCTTCTGCCTGCAAGGATCGCTTCCTGAAGCTAGGTGACTTGTGGCTGCGGGTTTGTGTCATGGGGTCACATTTGGAGGAGAATTTGGTGCAGTGAAGGGCAGAGGTTCAGGGAAAGCTCTCCCTGTTCTTTTGGATGCTTTTAGAAACCTCTTTGTAAAACAGACGCTCCAGAGTCTGGAGCTGGTAGATCTGCATGGGGCTGATTTAGCTGCTTGGACGTGTCCCTGAGGCAGGAGGGCGGGGGGAGGGACTGTGGCCCTATGGGAGCCCCCCAGGCAGGCAGGGTGCAGCTGACCAAACAAGAAGAGTTTAAAAATGGGAGAATGCCCATCAACTTAATTAATCACTCATTAACAGAAACCCCAAAGCATTGACTGCAGTACTGAGTAATAAAAAGTAAATAAATACACTCATAGAAACACACCTCCGCTCCCCTCCCTGTGGGTGCCGCTTGTCCCTGGGCAGGGGCCAACCCTCAGCACGGGGCCAACTCCTTGTGCGTCCTACCTGGTCCCTCTGGCAGAGGGTCCTCCCCAGGCCCTTCCCTGTCGTGCCGTGTCCCCTGCTCCTGCCCCAGCCAGGGCTCGTCTGGCTCTGGTTTGTTTGGGCCTGGTGGGGTTTGCTGCCCTTGAGTACATTGGGGTGGAGGTGCCGTACGCCCCTGGCACGGGTTCAGGTGGGTGGAATTTCCTGGAACGCAATGAGGTGATCTTCCTAAAGTCCTGGGGGAAAATCCTACAAAGCAAAAGGGAAATTTCCTGCAAACCACTGTGGGAATTCCTGGAAAGCAAAGGGACACTGTCCTAGAAAGCTGCAGTAAAATATCCTGGAAAACGAAGGGGAAATTTACTGCAAGACAATATAGGAATGTCCTTGAGACCACTAGGGGGAAATATTCGAGACATTGGTAGAAAGCAATGGGGGAACTTCCTAGAAGGCTGCAGGGGGGGACAGCCTAGAAATCAAAGGAGGAAAATTCCTAGAAAGCAAGCAGGAAATTGAGGAGGAAATTTCCTCAAATACCAGGGAAATTCCTGAAAAGCAAGAGTGACATGTCTTAAGATAAGCAACAGTGGTATTTCCTAGAGGGGAAATCTCCTAGAAAACAAAGGAGGAAGTGCTGGAAATTGAAAGGGAAATTTCCTGGACAGGAAGAATGAGATTTCTTGCAAAATAATTCCTGGCTTCCCAGGGAGAAACAGTCATGGGCCATTTTCCTAGAAAGCAACAGAAGTCCTCTAACCAGAGAGAAAATTCCTAGGAAGCAATGGAGGACTTTAGAAAGCAATGAGGAAATTTCCCAGGAAGCAAGGGGGGAATTTCCTGCGAAGTGGCAGGGCAATTCCCTAGAAAGCAATAGGGGGATTTCTTAGGAAGGAAGGGGGAAATTTTCTGGAAAACAAAGGGCAATATCCTGGAAAACCGTGCAGCAGGTCTTAGTAAGCGGAAGTTCCTGGAAAGAAGGGGAAATTTCCTCAGCAGCAAGAAGCGTGGGGGGAAAGAGGCCAAGAGCCTGTGCTTCAGCCCCGGTGCCCGCCATGCTTGTCCTTGGCGAGTAAATCTGTGCAACTCCTCAGGGTTTGTTGGTTGGTTTCACTGCTCCCTGCAGAGCTCGGGCGGGGGCGAGCGCTTGGGCTGTGCGTGACCTGCTTGTCCTTGGCGAGTAAATCTGTGCAACTCCTCAGGGTTTGTTGGTTGGTTTCACTGCTCCCTGCAGAGCTCGGGCGGGGGCGAGCGCTTG